GATTTCTTTTTCATTCTTAACTAAATTAGCAGTTTCAGGGTCAGCAACAGTTAAATTAACCGGATTTGGCAGGGAAAGATTGGACGGGCTGGCTAAATTACCGCAGTTTGGACCGCAGTTTGGCTTCAAAAAATTGTTTTCTGCTGAGGGGGCAATTTTTCACCCAGTAGAGCAAAAGCAGAAGCGACTTGACGTAAACAAACCAGGATTAGTAAAATTAAGATTATTGGCTGGTTCAAAAGCGTTAGAAAAAGGAACGGGGGCGGAATTAGTGGAAAAATTATTAATATTAACTTCACCTTTCGGATTAGTCGCTGAATATTTTCCAATTCCATATCCTATTCCGCCTGCCACCACGTATTTCTGTCAATTTCTTTTCAAATGAGCGAGGAGGTTGGGGATTTGATTTAGATAATTAATTAAGTTAGTGTGTTGAGGGCTAATTGGTAGAGCAGCGGGAGTTGGCTCGGTGGCGAGATTTTGTTCCGGAAGAACTTTTTCGCTGGTTGGGGAGGAAGTAGTTTGAGTTTCTTTTTCTATTTTTTGATTGATTACCTCCAAATGCTCGCCTACTCCTTGGGGCTCAACTGTTTCCTGCTCAGATTCTTTTTTCGCTTCGGCTAATTCTGCTTTGGTTTGGTCTAACTCCTGCTGCGTTTTTTTTAAATCATCTAAAATTTCCTCTTGGTTCGCCTTGGCTTCAGCCTGGTTTTTTTCTAGTTCAGCTTTTCAATAATCGAGTTCTGCTTCGAAGTCTTTTAACAACTTAAAAGTCTCAGTTTCATTATTAGCAGAATTTTTCAATTGATTCGCTAATTTAGCTAGTTCAGTTTTTAAATTATGAACCTCTGCCTTCAATAATAAATTTTCATTTTGGGTCTCATTATGTTTAATTTCTAAATTTTTATTAATTTTAGTGAGATTTTCATAACCTTCTTTATATCGTTTTAATTCAGTTTGTAAAGCTCTAAGGTCACCTGAATTGGTTTGAGCTTCTGCTTCGTTTTTTGTGGAGTCCGGACTTCTTTTTCTTTCTAACTGGGCAATCTGGGCTTGTAAATCTTTAATTATTTGGTCTTTTTTTCCTAATTCGGTCGTTAATTGTTCCTGGGAGACATCGTTTTCTTCTCGTAAGTTAACTACCTGTCCTTTTAAGTCATTTATCTCGGTTGCTTGCGAGTTTATTAGATTTTTTCTTTCGGTCAGTTGAGCTTTTACTTGGCTATTTTCTGTTGCTAAGGCATCATGGGCTTGACGAATTTTTTTTAATTTTTCTTTATTCTCTTCAGCAAGGTTGTAATATTTAACCATACCATACAACAAATCTCAGTTTTTTGTATCAATAACTTGTTTTAACTCCTCAATTTTTTGTTTTTTTAATTCGTATTTTCCGTGCTTAACTAACCCAAGTGTTCTGCCAATTATTTTTTTGACAGAAGTTTTAGGCTGGTTAGTTTTTTCCTCTTCCGTTAAAATTGTTTCCTCCGCGGTCGGAGTTTCGTCTGCAATAAATTCAATTTTATCTTCTTCATCGGTCATTCATTCCTTGTCCTCGCAAAGCGTAGAAGTGGTTGATTCAACCGAATGACCAAAAAAAGGTTTGCTGCTGCTCGGGGTAGGGGTATTATTTCAACCAAGTTCATCTAGCGTTTCAACTCTGGGGATGGCTCAACTTCAATTTTTAGATTCAATTGATTCAATTTTGCTCTCTCTCTCTCTCTCTCTCTCTCTCTCTATGTTATCAGTTTTCTTTATCTTAGCACTATTGTTATCTGCTTTTGGTTTCTTGCCAGCAATGGCGGGATCACCTAAATCAGCGAGAACTTTACCTTTGTCTTTTTTTTGGAATTGATTTTTTAATTTTTTAGGAACTTGAAATTTCATATAAGTTATTAATTTTAATTTTAAACTAGAATTAAGACAAGAACACCAATCTTATCAAACCCAAATAGGACAACCTCCTAAATAAAGCAATCATTTATTCCTAATTTCTAACAGTATCAATTTTGTTTACTACAATTCTCTAATCCACTGCCTTAATTTCAATACCATCAGAGTTAGACTGGAAATTATTTCATCATCGAGAACTTTGATTTAGGGAGGGAGTGAGAGGGGGAGTAATTGCGACCACTGAGGTTTATGGAAAGTATCAGGTTTATTAAATTGGGGAGAATGGGGAGTTAAAAAGGAGAGAAGCAATGAAGATGCGGGAGTGTATTGGGATGATATTGGAGGGGATGGAGTAATTTTAGTATTAAATCAAAGGATTTTTTAGTTTGATTAATAAAAGAGAAAATCTAAAAAAAACGATAAATTTTTATTTTTTCAAAACAATCCCATAACCATACAAATAATTGGCTAATTGTTGTTCATCCTCAAACTTTAAAAATGTTTCTCCTCTTTCAATAAACTTATAAGTAATTCCCGTGGGATGAGCCGAACCACTGCCGATAACTTGTTTTCCTTGCGACATTAAGCGACCAACTTTTTCTCCCTGATAGAATAAAGGAATATTTTCTGGTAATTCTTTAATGAGTAAATAATAGTGTCTGCCCTTATAACTTTCCACATAGGAAATTTGGGGAAAATGGCTTCACTCTCCTTTTTGGTCAATATCAAGAACACAAAAATAATAATTATCTAATTTTGTCCCAGTGCGGAGTCCATAATTACCTAATTCTAGCAGAAGCACTAAGTTTTAATTTAGTTAGCGGAGTTTTTAAATAGCTTCCATCAATTCTTACTTCTGCTAAAT